GCCAGCACAATGAGGACCAGGCATGCTGCGAGGTGGTGTTTGTGGAGAGGAGGTCCAGCCCGAGGGGTCGACTGTCATCCAGGGAAGGCGTCGGGGAGCTGGATGGGGTGAGAGCTGTGGTGGCATGCACAGGGACACAGCAGGGAGGATGCTCAGTGGCAGCATGTGAGATGGGGCAGGTGGAGATTTGTGTGACTGGGGGTTCCCTTAGTTCCTGGGCTGGCTGTCCCTGCCAGCTACTACCATCCTCCATCCCCACAGGTCTACACCAGGGCTGGCTGGCCCAGGGAGACCACTGGCCCACGTGTCCTGGTGGGCTGCAGAGGTAGCTGTCGAGCTGGTCCCATCGTGCCTCCCCTTCAGAGGAGGTGTCAGCTGCTGAGGGCATGCTGCTGGCAGCACGAGGTGTCTGATGCAGGGCTGGGCTCCAGCCAGGGACCAGCCGTGTCCAAACACCCTTGGTCAGCTGCCCACATTGCTCCTGCCTGCACTGGGACCTGTGAGACCAAGGCAGAACCTCGTGTCAGTGTCCTCAGCTGGTGGCCCCAGCTGCTCTGAATTCCCCATCCCATCTGCTTCCTCTCAGGCTCATTTAACCTTCCCTTCTCTCCCCACAGGGCAGGAAGGGTTTTTATTTCCACTACTGGGCCTTGTTTGATGGCCATGCAGGCAGTGGGGCTGCTGTCATGGCAGCTGAGAGGCTCCACCTGCACATCTGTGAGCAGCTCCGGGACCTCGTGGACATCCTGCAGGATCCTTCCCCACCTCCCATCTGCCTCCCAAACGATGTGAAGACAGGTGTGGATCCAAACCGTGTGTCAGAGGATGATGGGGATGTCCCCAACGATGCTGTGCCACGGTTCCACCTGGAGAAAGCAGTGTCCCATGAGAGCCTGGTGATTGGTGCCATCGAGAATGCCTTTAAGCACATGGTGAGGAGGAACCTCTGCCTGCAGGGTCACCCAGGGCACCCCCTGGGAGTGTTTCTTTGCTGAGTCTGCATCAGCTTGTCCCTCTGGCAAAAGGCAGCTCTGCAGTAAGGAGGAGGCTGCAGGGAAGGCTTCTAGCAGGATGATCTTGGAGAGGGCACTGTGATGCCCCATATGGTGGGGCTTCAGGATGCAGAGGGTTTTTTCCTCCAGGCCTGTGTGGGTGCAGAGGGCTTCACTGCACTTTGTTCCAGGAGTCCCATCTGCTCTCCTCCTGTCTGGCTCTTTCCTGCCCACTCCACTGCCCTGGTGAGGCCACATCCCTGGCTACCCCATGGGACCCCTGATGCCCCCAAACCCTGTGGCCACCCCTGGGTAGTGTAGGTAAAGGTACCTTGGCTGGTCACTGCTCCCCACCTGGGTGTTATTTGGGGCCCCCAACCTGCCCTGCCTGCAGCTGCTCTTTGTCTCCCCAGGACGACCAGATCGAGCGGGAACGAGGGTCCCAGCACCTGGCTGGGGGCTGCTGTGCCCTGGCTGCCATCTACCTCATGGGCAAGTTCTACGTGGCCAACGCTGGTGACAGCAGGTACAGCTCCACAGAGCAGCCCTCACCTTCTGCCTGGTATCAGGGAGCACCCCAGGAGAGCAGGGAGGTGCTGGAGGCATGGCTGGGTGAGGAGCACCTGGCTCCATCCCTGTTTTGGGGAGAGTGGAGGTGGCAGGACTGTGCAAAGCCTCCATCCCCTGCCTTCTGCATGCCCTTGGGACAGTGTGCCCTGCTGTGATGTCTGTGTTTGCCCAGTGCAGAATCACCTTCCAAAATCTGGCACTCACTCCCGTCCTTCCTGACAGCTTCCCAGATGGCTCTGGATCACACCCCAGTCCCTGCCCGGGCTGCAAGTTGAGGGAGTGAAAATTGCCCTTAGCAAAGTTTTCAAAAGTCTGCAAGAAGTCATTTTAGGGCACAGCTCATACCAGTGACCTGTTTTGGGAGAAGGACATGGAAATCCATGTGCAGACGAGTCCAGTGGGTGCTTGGAGCCCAAGAATTTTGACTGCCATGTGCATTTCCTGGGGTGGGTTTCTGTAACTGCTCTTGGATGGGCTCAAATTCCCAAGCAATGGCAGGAAGGAAGGTCCTCATTATGCTGATTTGTACTGCCCTGAATTTATCATAGGATCACAGAATGGTTTGGGTTGGAAGGGACCTTCAAGCTCATCTTGTTCCACCCCCTGCCATGGGCAGGGACACCTTCTACTAGACCAGAGTCCTCCAAGCCTTGTCCAACCTGACCCTGAACACTTCCAGGGATGGGCAGCCACAGCTTCTCTGGGTATTTACTGCAGGTTACCTTGTCCTCAACAGTGTCAGACCAGCAAATACAGGCTCTGGTCAATTGTCTGAGGCTGGAGGATGTGCTTCCAGCTCTGGGATAGAGGAGAAGGAGATCCTTCTTGCCTCCACTGTTGGATACAGGCCCTCTCCATGGCAGCAGCAGCCAGGCACCAGCCATGCAGGGGGTCCTGAGGCTTTAACTCTGCCTCTGGGCAAGGGTTTGTGTTCTCTCCTTGAGCATCAGACACTGCTCAGCCTGGTCATGCATCCTTGGAGGAGACCTGCAGCCCTAGGTGGGACAGCTAGGCCACAAGCATTGGAGATCCTCTTACGCCCATGACATCCAGAAACATCTCATAATCAGACCTTTGTTTTTGTAACACATCAAACCATCAGGTTGGCCCCAGCAGTGAGCTGCAGTGTTGGTGAGGGCTGGGCACATGCAACCATGTCCTACTCCTGGCCATTTCTGCCCCTCCTGTGTGCAGCTCCCCCGTAGAGAGTTCACTGCATTTCTGCTGCTCCTTTTCTAACCGTGTCCTGTCCTTTGGTTTGCTCTCCTTCATTCTCCTCTGCCCCATGCTTCTCTCCCATTTTCCCTTCCTCCCTGCCCCTGTCTTGCACAGGAGGGAGGCATGCCATGCCCTGCCCTGCTCGATGGGGCTGGGGGGCCACGGAACCAGCAAGCAGTCCCCAGCTCAGGCTGGGAAAAGGGCAGACAACAGAGGGAAGGGGGTTGCACCACTCCTGGGAATCAACCCTGGAGCACCAGCCTTAGCTCCCTGCCACATCTCCTCTCCTCCTTTCTAATCTCATCCTTCCATGTTTCATTGCAGGGCCATTATCATCCGTAACGGGGAAATCATTCCAATGTCCAGGGAGTTTACTCCAGAGACAGAGAGGCAGAGGCT